CTCACAGACCTACATGCAGTTCACGTGCGGCTTCAAGCTGGTCATGTCGGACGACCAGTTGGTAACCTGGTTGGTGAAGCCTAACCTGAAGTTGAAGTTTGTGTTGCGTGATGGGCTGTACCGCATGCGGGTGCAGCCATCATCAACTGGCACTGGGCGTTCAGAAGCGAACCGATGTGCCAAGCGGAATGGAACTGCTCCAATCGCGCTTGAACCACGTGAGCATGGACACTATCAAAAAGATGGTGGTTGACAGCGTTGAGTTTGGAGTTAAGGTGAACATGAATGACCTGAGCCTCTATGACTGTATTCCTTGTGTTGGGTCAAAGATGAAAAGGATGCCTTACCGTCAGAATCCCCGCCGTGCAACGGAGAAACTAGAGAAGATCTGAGCGGATCTCTGCTCAATTAGCGAGATTGCTGTTGACAAGTCGACGATGTTCCTACTTGTGATGGACGAGTTCTCGCGTTTCCGATGGGTGTTTCTGCTTCAGTCCAAAGCGGATGCCAGTAGACATCTACGCCACCTGATGTTGAAGCTAGAGAAGCAAGACAAGAAGTACAAGATCCTCGTGTTTCATGCTGATGGAGGTGGAGAATTTGTGAACAACGAGTTCAAGGAATTCTGTGCTTCGCAAGGAGTGGATATGCAGTTTACCCATGCTGACAGCCCGGAAGAAAACGCAATTGTGGAGCGGGCGAATGGTGTTATTGTGACTCGAATGAGATCGATGTTGGAAGCGACGCGCTTGCCAAATCTGCTGTGGGGCGAAGCGCTCCTGCATGCAGTGGATACGTTGAATGTTTGTCCGTCCAGTTCATTGAAGAGAATTGCTCTTATCAGGTCTTCTACGGCAAGAAACCTGCACTTCTTCCAGTAAGCGCATCTCCACGCGACCATTGAGATCATTCACAACCGGCATAAGAACAGCACCGGCGATCCCGATACGCTCGCAAGAACCAGTAGCCCCTTACAGAATCTCTGCATGTTGCAATTCCATCACATTGTTCAATAGCTGTAGCTCTCCAGTCACGTTCACTTGCGCTCCGGAGCCGAGGATCCACTCGATCTCGTCGGCCCGTACCGCTTCGGTATCACCGTTGGTTGTTGCCGCCAACACACGACGAACAACAGGTAAGCCACTAGCTCCACG